TTTATTTATTTATTTATTTATTTATTTATTTATTTATTTATTTATTTATGGTGTGTGTGTGTGTGTGTGTGTGTGTGTGTGTGTGTGTGTGTGTGTTGTCAGGGCATGCTTGGGGAGATGAGAGGACAGCTTTTAGGAGTCCATTCTTTTCTTCTACCATGTGACTCCTGGGTATCATGCTCAGGTTGCCAAGCCTGGTGGCAAGTACCTTTAGTTTGCTCACTAAGCCGTCTTACTGATCCATTCTTCAAAGTTTTGTTAAGTTTTACATTTTGAATTCTCTGAATTTTGTCTGGCATATCAACACTACCACACTTCCTCACTGCCAGTAATGAAGTAAGTAAATTGTTCTGTACATTTAATGACATGAATTTTCCAGTTGTGTTTTCTTTCAAAATTGTATTACCAGGGTTGGAAAGATGACTCAGTGATTAAGAGCACTGAGCATTCTTCCAGAGATCCTGAGTTCAATTCCCAGCATCCACATGGCAGCTCACAACCATCTATAGCCTATAGTTCTGTGGGATCCAGTGCCTCTTCTGGTGTGCAGCCATACACACAAACAAAACACCCATATACATGAAATGCATAAATAAATATCTTAGAAAGAGTGTCCTGCCTGTTTTAGTTACTTTGTCTTTCCACATACATTTTAGAATGATCTTCTTGATGTGTATAAAAACTCACAATATGGGCTGGAAAGATGGCTCACTGGTTAAGAGCATTTGCTGCTATTGCAAAGGATTTGGCTTCAGTTCCCAGCATGCACATGGCAGCTCAAAACCGTTGGTAACTGAAGTTCCAGGGGATTGATGCCATGTTCTGGGCCTCCACGGGTACTTCCTGAGCTTAACATACACACATGCAGCAGTAAAACACTTGTATATATAAAATAAAAAAAATCTTTAAAAAATTCTGCTAGGATTTTGATGGCAATTATTAAAACTGATGTCAATTTGAGTGGACTCCTGAACAGGATGTATGTCTCTGTTTATTTAGGTCTTTAGTAACTTTCAACAGAGTTTTACCATTTTTCATCTCACAGATCCTGTCTATGTTAGACTTATAATTAGATATTCAGTGTTTTTTGTTGTTCCTATATATGGACTTTTTTAACTTTAATTTTTTGTTGTTGGTCATGGTAAGATATAGAAATGCTATAGGTTTCTAGGTTTATATTGTGTCACACGACTAATATATTAGTTAGGTATTTCTGGGAACTTTTTCATTGATTTCATGAGATTCTGCTTTACTTTGGTTATATTGCATGAAGACAGAGATAATCTGCATTAAAAAGGTTCATCAGTCTGGGTTCTCCTGCCTGGGAAAGACTCAGAATTCATTAGTTGCTTATAGTTCTTTGTCTAGATTGAGACCCCAATATCATGTTAGCATGTTTATTGGTGTTGTCCTTGTATAGCTCTTGTTTAGGCAGTCACGTTGATGAGATTTCATAGATGTAGCTTCCCTGACATTCTAGGAGATGCAACTCACAGCAAACTTCCTGTTTCCCAGCTCTTACAGTCTTTCTGTCCTCTCTTCTACAATATTCACTGAATTTTAGGTGCAGGAGTTGTATTGTAGATGTACCAGTTGATGTTGGGCAGAAAATGATCACTTTTCATTTTGATTGGTTGTGGCTTTCTGTAGTCATCTCCATCTGTTACAAGGAAAGGTTTCTTGATGAGGGGTGAAAGCTACACTTATCTATGGGTATAAGGACAAATATTTTTAATGCAGTTAAGAATTTATGGAGGTGTTTCTTAATTGATGTTACTTCCTCTCAGATGACTTTAGCTTGTGTCAAGTTGACATAAAACTATCCAGCACACAAAGCATGTTAAGTGCTCTTTTGAGTTGTTAGTCAGGGTTGTCCAAAAGACTCCCAAAACATTATAGGTTCTTGTTATTATTCTTAGTTGCCTCCAAGAAGTTAAAGGTAAGTCCCTATTGGTGAAGACACCATATACTTTGGACATAGGGCCTGGAGGCTCAGATCTGGTTCTGACCTGAAAACTTCTTTCATGCAAACTAGCTTTCAGGGTTCCAAAAGATGCCATACAAGCTTCCAAGAAAAGAAAGCAATTAAGAGTCCTACCTAG